CCCTACGCAGGTACCACGCTCCCTCTCCTCCTTTCCGAGCTTCCCCTTATTTTTTTGGGGGGGAAAACCAGCAGATTTGGGGGGGTTTCATTGAAAAAAAATCCCCAGCGGAGCCCAAACGCCTTGAGGAGGACGCACGAGCGTCCCTGGTTGCTGCTTCCTTTGCAGCGTCGGTGCAAATCAATGCAAGGAGGAATTGAGAATAAAACCCCAGATCTGTGGATTTTGGGGCGTTCCCCTGGGAAGTGAAGTTTTTTACTACTTTTTTTTTTTAACTGAACCTTTTTTTTCTGCTCCTCCCCCAGATCATGTACAACGGGCAGCCCATCACCAAACTGGCGTGCGGGGCCGAGTTCAGCATGATCATGGATTGCAAAGGAAACCTCTACTCCTTTGGGTGCCCCGAGTACGGGCAGCTGGGTACGGTGCTGTTTTGGGGTGCTTTGCTCAAATTTTGCGCTATTGTGGGGTTGGGGGAAGACATTCCCTGCCTCAGTTTCCCCAGCCGGGCAACCGCAGCAAAAATAGCGGGGTGGGAGCTGCGACTAGCGAGAGGAGAGGGGATTTCTGCAGCTGGCTTGGAAAAAAGGGGGTGCAAGGCAGGGGGGACACCCCGCTTTCACCCCGGTGCTGGTCCGCAGGGCATAACTCGGACGGGAAGTTCATCGCCCGGGCGCAGCGCATCGAGTACGACTGCGAGCTGGTGCCGCGCCGCGTGGCCATCTTCATCGAGAAGACCAAAGATGGGCAGATCCTGCCCGTCCCCAACGTGGTGGTGCGGGACGTGGCGTGCGGGGCCAACCACACGGTACGCGCCAGTGTGTGCAGCGGGCGGTAACTGGGAGAGAGTTGCAGCGGGCAGTGCAGGGTACCGGCTTGCAGGGTGCATGTAGGGCTGAAGATTTGCAGCATGCATTTAAGGGTAGATGCTTGCAGGGTGCGTTTAGGGCTAGAGAGTTGCAGCATGCATTTAAGGGTAGATACTCGCAGCGTGCATGTGAGGATACAGACCTGCAGGGTGCACATAAGCGTTGAGATCTGCAGCGAGCGTTGTGGGGATAAAGTTTTGCAGCGTGTTAAGGAGGAAGAGTTGCAGCCTGCGTTTAAGGACAGAAATCTGCAGCGTGCTTATAAGCATAAATATTTGCAGCGTGCATTTAAGGATAAAGTTTTGCACCGTGCATGTAAGTATAGAGAGATTTGCAGCGTGCATTTTAGGATAGGGATTTGCAGTGCGCCCATAAGGATGCATACTTGCAGGAAGCATTTAAGGATTGAGATTTGCAGCCTGCATTTTAGAATAGAGATTTGCAGTGTGTATTTAAGGCTAAAGATTTGCAGCCTGTGTTTAAGGATTGAGGTTTCCAGCATGTGTTTAAGGGTGAGTTCTTGCAGCATGCATTTAAGGGCAGAAATTTGCAGCGTGCATATTAGGATAAATATTTGTAGTGTGCACTTAAGGGTCAAGAGTTGCAGCGTGCCTATAAGTGTAGAGATTTGCAGTGTGCATATCAGGGTAAATATTTGCAGTGTGTGTTTAAGGATAAATACTTGCAGCCTGCATGTAAGGACAGAGGTTTGCAGGGTGCATTTAAGGACAGAGTTTTGCAGCCTGCATGTAAGGCTAAATACTTGCAGCTTGCATGTAAGGACAGAGATTTGCAGGGTGCATTTAAGGACAGAGTTCTGCAGCCTGCATTTAAGGGTAAATATTTGCAGCATGCACGTGAGGACAGAGTTTTGCAGCCTGCATTTAGCGTTTGCACAGCCCTTTATGGCGGCTTTCCCCGCGCCGAGCTGGTCGGCTCTCGGCCGCTCACGGTTGCGCGGGGGAAACGTTTCTCCACTCCCAGCTCATCCTGGACTCGCAGAAGCGCGTTTTCTCCTGGGGCTTTGGGGGCTACGGGCGGCTGGGCCACGCCGAGCAGAAGGACGAGATGGTGCCTCGCTTGGTCAAGCTCTTCGACTTCCCCGGGCGCGGGGCGGCGCAGATCTACGCCGGCTACACGTGCTCCTTCGCCGTCAGCGAGATAGGTCGGGATCGGCGGCGGTTTAAAGCAAATCCGTCGCTATTTGGGGGGTTTTGGGGACGCTCGGGGGATGCCGTAGCTTGACCGGTGGTGTCGGGGCTTGCAGGCGGCTTGTTT